CTGGGGTGTGCAAGTGGGATTCACCCTGTGAACACACACATACACATGCATTGTCCCTGCCTGTGTGCATGCATGCACTCCCTGGTCCCGTAATGCAGATGCAGCCAGGAGCCATGTGATGCCAGGGCAGGAAGACAGTGAAATGGCTGGGAGTGGAGTGGGGCAGGGCTGGGCTGCTCAGTTCTGCTGAGGGCTCCCCCTGGGTCCTACTGCCCTTGTCTCCTATTAGCTTTGACAGGTAGCCAGGAAAAAATAACTATTAATTTACTAATATGTTTAAGGGCCCCATGGGCTGGATCTGGCCTGCAGGCAGTATTTTGCCTGCCCCTGGCTTAAAACAAGCCAGCTTCCCTACCCTTCTTACCCTTCACTAGCCAGCAGCCTACAGGCAAAACTGGGAGGTGGCTTTTGCTCATCCTGTTGAGGCTTGTTTAAGAGGAGAAAAGGTCCAGAATGAGGACAGATTCTGTACTCTAGTGACTTAAGTCATTGCTGAGAAAACAAAAACCAGGTCTCCCTCTTAGATGAATACAGTAGCCATTGGAAAAGGCTCCTGCTCCATCTTCTGTTCCTTTCTGCAAAATAACAGTTTAAACTGAAATTTGCAGCAGTTGCAGTATCACAGAATTATAGAAAATGAGGGTTGGGAGGAACCTCAGGAGTCCATCTACTCCAACCCCTGCTCAAAGCAGGACCATCCCCAACCAAAGATTTGTCTACCCTGGGCTTAAAAAACCTCCAAGGATAGGTGACCTGTTCCAGTGCTTCCCCCCCCCCACTACCTCACCTCAACTTCCCTTGTTGCAACTTGAGACCATGGCTCCTTGTTCTGCCACTGCTGAGAAAAATTCCAGCTCTGTCCTTGCTAGAACTGCTCTGGCTGCTGTTCAACCCCCTTAGTCTTCTCTTGTCCAGGCTCGATAAGCCCAGTTCCCTCGGCCCTTCCTCACAAGTCACGTTCCCCACCACCCTAACCCTTTTCATTTCCCTGCACTGGACTCCCCAGCTGGTCCGTATCCAGCGTGGACCCGAGGAGCAGAATCGCTTCCCCTGCAGCCCAGGATGCCCTTAGCCTTCTTGGCAACAAAGGCACACGGCCGGGTCATACCCAGCTTACTGTCCACTGTAACCCCTGTCCTTTCTGCAGAGCTGCTGCTCATCCCTCCAGCCTGGCTTTCGAGTTGGGCCTCCTCAGGCTGCAGAAAGCAGCGCAGGTAGGTTTCCAGGCCGGAGGGACCGAACCCGTAAGAAAGGGGCAGGGCAGCTGCGCCTCCAAGGCAACATGCTGATAAGACATGAATACCGAGGAGCTGCTCCGCTTCCAGCCGCAGACACCCTCCCCGGGAGCAGACCCGCCGCTTCCCCCTCCCGGCCGAGCGCCTGCGCTTGAGAGCACCCTGGGACCCACGTGGCGCGGCAGTTGCTTCCGCGCTGGAGTCACGGGACGGGGCTTCCCCGCCTCCATCCCCCCAGCCCGCCTGAACCCTCGCGCGCCCCGTAGCCGGGATGCTCCGGGGGGGCCAACATGGCGGCGCCGCTGGCGCTCGTGGTGCCGGGGCTTGGCGGGGCTGCGTGGGGTGAGTCCGGGGGCGCGGGGGAAACTCGCGGGGCGGTCTGGATGCGGGGCTGAGCCCGCACGGGGGGAGGGGGATCGCGAACGGCTCCTCCGCTCCAGGATACCCGCCTACCCTGTCCCCCTGGTCCCATCGACTCCTTTGGGCAGCGCCGAGCCAGTCCCCGTGGGCACAGGCGCGGGCTCCGGCCCTGCCCTCTGCCCGGCGCCGGGCTGCAGCTCGCGGGTCGGCACACGCTGCGCTGCCGGGTCTACCATAACTGCCCTGTTTGTACGAGCGTTTCAACCCTTTACGATAAACAGGAATAGAAGTGTCCAAAATGTAGGATCGTTCTTGACGCAGCAGGTGCCAAACCCAAGTCGCTGTCCGGGAGCCTGCGCTGATTTTGGGGTTTGCTGTCAGCCCTTCCTTACTGCTTGCCTCAAAATGAAAAAGTGCTTCAACTTTGATGACTCAATCCTGGCTTACTCGCTGGCAAGTTACAGTGAGCAATAGAAAGTAAATAAGAGGTTTATTTGCCTACTTATTTGCATATATTTTCAGTGTATGATAGTTTTTCAGTAAATGCAATAATTTTGAGCTTCCCATACGATGATTTCCTTTTTAAGACCTGGCAACACTGCCTGCAGGTTGTATCAGTTGTGCAGGTGAGCAGTGGGGGAAGTGCTCCATGAGTTGAGGCTGGTGCCACCTGTGCAAAGTAATCGCGGCAAGGGAAAAACTTCCGTCCAGCAATAGGAGCCAGCTATGAAGGTAGCGCTTGGAAACGTGCAGCTGCTGTAGAGCAGGTTTCTAGCAGCTTTCCTTTGAAGGTGTAGCAGGATCGTCAGGTTTCAAATGGGTGAAATATAGCAGGGGCCTCACTGGCACAGACAGATCCTTGGCTAGTTTGGGTCCCAAATTTCAATTTAGATTCAACTTGATTATAACAGAGGTGTTTGTCCTGGATGCAGGTATTCTATATATTTTTTTTCATTTTAAATATTATCACATGTGCACCTCAGATGTGTCAGCAGTGCCTCAGGAAATGAGAACTTGAAAGCTGACCTGAAGCAGCTACAGCTGTACATAAATAAGTGACATTTGATTAGCCCAGTTTCACCACCCAGGCATAATGAAATGCAAAAAGTAACAGAAGAGTGGGCATGTTCATGGAGAAGTTAGATTTTGCGACACTCTTAATTTATTACAATATAAGCTGATAAAGGTTATCTTGATGGTGCCTTTTTAATCATGAGTCCAGTTGTTGTTTATCTGTCCTTAGGCAAAAGAGTGAACCTACTTCTCTACTACTTTAATCTTGCCTGATTATCTGTATGCGGATAATAATAAATAAGAGAGAATCACATTTAGGTGTACTGGGTATCAGTAATGATTTAGCAGTGCAGAAGATAAGAAAGGGTAGATATGGATCTCATACACTAACTAAATAAGATTATATAGAGAGCATAAACTTTTGTGAACTCTAGCTCACTTCACCAGATGATGCCAAGGAAGCTCAAATACACAAAAATTTGTGCTCTCGATATATTTACTTAGTTTGTAAGTAGAGACCTGAATTTGAGGAGGCTTTCCCCCCAATTTTACAGGCAGAATGTGGGGTGGGGGCCATGAAGGACTCATGCCCCCAGCAACTGATTATCTGTTATATTGAGGCAAGAAAAACTACATAGTATCCAGTGCTTAGTGGATATCACCTGGTTTGTTGGCTGCTATGAAAGGCAAGTTATATGTGGAGGGCTAATTATAAGGGGCAAACTGCATTGTGATTTAGTATGCATGTACATTTGGGAATGAATAATTACACATTAAAGATGACAAATTAGTCAAAGTGTTTTGTGTATAAGTCAGTGAGACTGGCAGAGATTCAGTGCACCAAATAATAATACCCTACTGATGAGTTATCCCAGTGGCTAATTAATCAGATTTCACCAGATTCTTTTGAAAAAGGTAATTTATCAGCAGGGATCCTGGTTTTAAATCCCCAATTGTTGTTTTAAAAAAAATTAACCCCAAATCCAGTTTTCCATGATTAAAATGAAACACCACTATCTATAGATCTAGATCTATAGATCTTCTTTATCCGTCTATAAATATATATATATTATATCCACAGCCCCCCACCACTACTATATATCTATGTATATAGCAGTGGCATTTTGTTTAAATCATGGGAAAATGTGGATTTTGGGTTACTGTTTTTAAATCAAAAATTGGGGGTTTTTTTAAATTGGAGAAGCCAGAATCACTGTTCTTCATTCACCAAAGTATCTGGAATGCACTGACTGGTTAAGATGTGTTTACAATGGTTTTACTTTTGCCAGAGTAACTAAAGTTTATGGGTAAATCTGCCTTTAATTTACACTGTTTTATTGATATGAAGGACTGTATTCTGAAAGTGGCTTTGTGTGCGAGGAGATATTGGGAAGTCCAGTTTTTGAGACCCAGTATCTTTATGCTTTAAACGTGATCTCTTATGCCTATGCCCATACCCAGGCAGTGCTGCCAGTTCCAGGAGCCTTTTAAGTGCTGGTGGCCAAGGTAGTGGTAGCATGGAAACCTCTAAGACGCAGCGACAGTTGCGCCAACAAGTCTTCCAGTGAGAACCTTTGACACAGTCTCTCTCATACAAATAACTCATGATAAGCAGGGATCCTGGTTTTCTTTGTTTAAAAATCACAAATTCTCTGATAAAAATCAGCAGACACAGTTCTTTGAGTAAATAGTTAGAAAAATTGTTCTTTGCAAGCTTTCGGGTGCCTGAAGAAGAGTGTTTGTACCCGAAAGCTTGCAAAGAACAATTTTTTCAACTATTTGATTGGTCTAATAAAATATATCACATCTGCCCAAAGAACATTGTCTGCCTATGTCCTTAGACCAACATGATTACAACCAACAAAAAAAATCACAAATTCTCTGATTAAAACCCCCTAAATCCATGTTTTTCTGTGATTTAAAATGAAACATCACTCATATATATATAGGTATCACTTGAACACAATGTTTTACTGATATATTTACAATTTTAAAGCAGTTTGGAAGCCTATCAGTGCTTCAATCACTATAATGAAATACATTCTGAATACCTCTAAATTTTTGCGTTTCATTTTGAGGTTTTTATTATGGAAAATCAGTTTCCCCTGCACCTTTCCCTCACCGGGACATGGGTCCAGCTCCAGCTGTCCCCCCTCACTGCTTTGTGGTGCTGAGCAGCCCTGGTATGCTGGTGCCCTTCCCCTGTGTTGCCCCTCACTCCTGACCCGCAGCTCCCTGGGCCTGTTGGTGCCCTTCACTCCCCACCCACAGCCCACAACCCTGCTGGAGGGGCCTCCAGTTGCCAGGGCTATGGCAATCTGGGTCTGCAGCCTGCTGCCCCCCTGCAGAAGCACCTGAACCCCAGCTGCTGCATGTGGGAGGCGGCGGCTGTTGCGGTGGAGCGGCACACAGAGCATGACTCCCCCTCCCCCACAGACAACACAACCAGAGCAGAGCTCGTAGAGAGGTAGGGGCAGGCTTGGGCTCCCCTCCCTGCTGCCTCCCACTGGGGCCTCCGTGGTCCTGTGGACAGGACCCTGCACAGCCACAGTGAAGCACCCCTTGCCTGTCTGGCAGCAGCGGGGGTGATGAGGCAGAGTTGTGCCCCTTGCTGCTGTCAGCTGGGCAGGGAGCACTTCGCCAGGGCTTGTGGCTGCAGCACCGAGCTTCCCTGCCCTGCTCTGCCTTGCTATGCTGGGTCCCACCCACTGGGCCGTGGAGGCCCCAGGGAGAGGGCAGCAGGTTGGGCAACCTGAGCCTGCAGCAGGCAGCCTACATCATCCCATTGCATGCACAATCCGGGGGGGTGAGGGGGGCATGTGTCCCCCATCCCCCATTGCAGCGGCAGTGAGCTGCCTCTCCACGGGCTCTGTCCTGCTCCCCAGTTGGGCCCTGCAGCCATGCA